AAAATTCGGTGTTAAAAAAATTCAGTGTTTAAAATTCGGTGTTAAAAAAAAGGCAGATTCAAATGTTTTTCTTCCATAACTGGCCTGCATAAGACAAACTTTTGGGACAATATTTTCTGATAAAGAGTAAATTTATATACATGTTTAAGCCAGAATGATTTGACATTTAAATATGACTTCTCTACGACTTTAAAATAAGATAATTAGATAGTTTTTGCTTAAGAATAAGAAACTGCAGTTGCTTTTTCTTGTTTTAAATGTAAATCGTCTTGTTCCATTAGCAAAGTGTCTCACCTTCTCAATTCAAGAAAAAAAGCTCTTACTTTAAGAAAAATTGACTTACTTAGAATTTTTACAGTATTCCAATAGAACCCCTGCTATTGAACAGAAATATCTTCATTGTCCCTCAGTGGGGAAATGTGGGTTTGTTTTCATTGCAAAGACTGAAGATAAAAAAGTTTAATCACCTGCTAGCCCTGGCTTTAGGCCAGGCTGTTTATTTTTCTCGTAAGTCTTCAGAACAAACGACGGAATCCCAGAAACCGTTTTTCCTTGGTCTGATCGCAGGCTGCCGCTCCTCAGAGCAGAGAAATAAACTCCTCGTGGCATCACACTCATCTCCTGCTTCACCAGCGACGTCAGGAAGAGCTCAAAGGCTAAGAAAAGCAAACAAAAAAGAAAAAATCTCTTTAATGTATCATAATCAACTATGGGAAATTGTAAACAACTGAATGAACTCCAAGCACTCAACCCAACCAAAATATCAAAAATGTAGAGTCACATATATGTAAGATCATATCCCAGACTCCAGCATCTCTCTGCTGGGCAAAGCAAACATTTAAAGAGGAGTAACATCAAGGGAGGTGGATTAGCAGAGGTTGGAATGGTTGGATGGTGTAATCCAAGACATTCTACCCTAAAATGTCTTTTCTACAGTATGGGAACAAAAATGTTTGACAGCAAACACATCTCTGTATATCCCCTCCAGAATTTACCACAGGTTATATATATCAATATGAACCTACTTTGATGCTGAATGGAATCTGGATTAAATAAAGTAAATCATAATATCACATTATATCCTTTTTAGAGGAGATGTGTTTGAAATGTGTGTGTAACCATCTACTATCATCCATATCCTTATTGATTTACTGCAGCTAGCCACACACAGCAGGACAATACCTCTGCTCTTGAAGCCTGAACATAAAAACCACCGCCGCATTCTATCAATCAAAGCCCCACAGAACCTAGAACCAGAGCAGATAGAAAACCCCAGTCGGCCTCAGCAGATGGCCGCTCACACTGAGCCTGGTTCTGCTGGAGAATTCTTCCTGTTAAAAGGGAGTTTTTCCTCTCCACTGTCGCTACAAGCATGCTTAGTGTGAGGGATTGCTGAAGAGTCAACAGTATACATGCAACATTTCCCCCTTATTCATAAAACTGTAAAATTAGGGATATTTCCGGGGACAGCTTTAGCCGGGGACAGGTGGTCCAAAACGGGGACTGTCCCCAGAAATCAGGGACCTCTGGTCACCAAACTATGCATGGAATTATGTTTTTTTTATATATATACTGTATATATATATATATATAAAGTGTTTTCATAATGTTTTTTGTTGTTGGCATTCATATAAATGTCACCGGTGTGTGATAACTTAGTATACGTTTGATTGGTTTTTGGTATACATCTATTTTGAATTTGTAGCCCC